TCAAATTTAAATGTCTGGTCATGAGGCTGGAACACAAACCAGACGTCCAGACACATTCAATCAGCGTCAGTGTGAATAATGAGAGAATGTGTAGGTGCTCAGTTTTAACACTGAGGGTCTTTGTAACGTGAGCTCGGCTTTGGGTGGTCAGTCAGTCTGAGAGTAACTGCTGACCACTCCTGCTTATGCGCACGTCCAGGACGGTCAGATCAATGCAGCTTTGTATTGCCCAATGTTTAGACACAAGGCTAATGTATCCAATACCCACCCGCCCATCCCTCTCCCCCATCCCTCTCCCCCATCCCTCCCCCCCAGCAGGCCTTTCTCCAATCGATGAGGAATGCATTACCCATCAGGGTGAGTCAGCTGATTTTTTCTATCCTCTGTGAGATCTGAGGGGCCGGATCTCCTCCAGCGCCGAGCGGCGGTGACCAAATTTATGACACAGATTAGCTCCACAGATTAGCAGAGAGCGAAGGAGTCAAGCAGCACTCTAAATTCAGAATTCACCCATCTGTCTTCACGGGGCAGGTTGTCACAGATCACCGCAGAGTGGCATGGATTTCCAATGTTGTGGGGGAGGGGGTCGTTAACGTCATTATTGCTTTATTGATTGGTCTGTGCGGCGGTGCTGAGTCGACAAACGCCACATACATCCTGCTTTATACGCCACTGACACCGAATAAAACATATAGAACATTATTTCATTTACAGAAGATTTAGCCAGTGAGGTGATTTAAACTGAACCCAGGGCTTATTATTGTTATTAATCTTAACATATGATACATATAAACAACTATAAAGACGTATCATTCAGTCATTTCTATAAATGAGTCTATAACTACTATAAAAAATGATTTTCCTTCTTCTGTAAAGTTACTATTTTGGAAATACAACTATGTTTTATTTGGACAGGGATGATCTGTTCAGGGCCTGGACTGAAAGTTTAACACAGTACAGATCTAGTAATACTATATTAATATATTAATATGTATTATATAATATATATATTAATCTCTATAGTGCTGTATAATAATTTATACTGTTTTCTCCTGTTTATAATGTTCTTGTGATGCTCTTGTAGTAATCAATATTACATAAATCTTAACTGTAAGAATTTTATAGGTTGCTTTAAATGCTTCATATTTGTACTGTTAGTGTACTTAAAACAGCTTTGAACTCCTTAAGCATTTAAGATCAAAACGTAAGATGTTTTATTTTAATTTATCCTTTTTATGAAAACATTCATATCAGTGTTCTCTTAACAATAAGGGGTTCTTTACTTGATGCCATTCCCTAAAGAACCTTTCACTGGCTGGTTCTTTGAGTATGAAGAACCTCTCCAAAGTTTAAAGAACTTCCACATAATGTAAGGGTTCTAGGAAGTTCCCTTACATTGCTAAAGAACCTTTACTGTATGTTGTTTTACTTTAACTCAAGAATCATCATTTCTAATTCTGTGCTGTTAAAGCCAGTCTGTTTTTAATCGCTCTGAACCCAAAAATCTACAGTCACTAAACCATACAGTGTCCTGACCCCCCCACCCCCCACCTCCCCCCAGAATAAAGACACTATACTGTACATTACAGTCATTTTCCCAAAGTAAAGGTACTGTTTTAGGTACTTTTATACAGATCATCCTACTGAACTGGTTGAAAGTCAGAGCTGAAAACATGATCTTGGAGTGTAAATCCTTTTGCTCTGAGTGACCCTATAGCTTAATTATGATTATTTTATTAAAACTAATGACTAAACATTCCATTTTGTCACTACCGAAAAAATCATAACACATGATTTCAATAGTGACTGTTTTGGTGGTAACAATTTCACCCTATTTTGAGCTTAAAAAAACACAGCCAGTACATAATCAGCAAACACAAATACAGACATTTTATTTACTATCCAGAACCACCAGTGAACCTACACGAGTCTTCAGAGTTTATATGGAATGTTGATGATGGAAAATAGTGGAAAATCTGAAATAATAAGTTTTCTTTGGACTGACCTGCATGTACAGTTGTAGGCAAAACTTTTGTGTTGATTTTCTAAGTGAAAAAGTTAATAACTTTCTGTGAAGGAGCTTTTAGAGGTGGACGTCTGGTTCCTATCACCACCACTGTGAACAGTTCTGACTCGGTAAGTTTATCTAGAACAGAGCGTTTCACACCAAACCACTCTAAACTGCTCTGATTACATCTTAACCACTTTAACCCCTTAAAATCTTTGGCTTATTACACACTAAAGCTTATTATTCAGTAACTACAGGGAATTCAGTGCAAACTAGCTGAGCTATTCTTATAGATGTGTGTAATAAAACGTTGGGCCTGCTGGTGGGCCCTGGCTGTTTAAAGGGTTCATTATGCAGAAATTTTGGTGGAATTCCCCTTTAAGGACTTTGTTGTGCCTTTTACATTGTTTGTATCTTTTTTCTGTGTGTTCACAAGGCTGCAAATCTGCTGTGGGTTCATGTTTAAGGTCTTCCAATCAGTGGAAAGTAAAACTCTTTCTTATCCTGTATGTTTGTTGCCGTTTTCTGAGTGAGACTCCAGACTGTTTGGTCTGTGAAGTTTTCCTGTTCAATCAGTTTGAGGGTCTTTATTCACCCAAATCAGGGTCAGATTCTCCATGTTCACGCTGAGCTGCTCTTATATCAGTCTGACTGTAGTAAGTGTGATGAGTCTGATCTCAGACTCAGAATAAATCAGAACCACAGCCAGACTCCCAGAGGAGAGTGACGCATACGCATGTTTTTCACCATAATCGCCTTTTTATAAGATAAAATGATGGTTTTTCAGGCTGTGTTTCACGGCTGAAGCACTTATGACACACATCCTGGAAATTACTCACTGCAGAGTGCTCTCTCTCTCTTTCTCTCTCTCTCTCTCACACACATGGTCCCTAATTTTTGTGGGTTTTCTTCAGCAGTGGTCCTCAGTTGTGTGTTATTATGTGCTCAGGTCTCCCCCTGGTGACGAGAGGCTCCTACTGCATCGTTAACGAGGCGTGGAACTGTACACAGAACGTCCTTTGTGTTCCATGAAGAGAAATCAGACAAGAAGGTCAGCAGTTCAGTCACATGCAGTAAAGAACAACCGTCACACTGAACGCATGTCTGCCCTCAGAGCAGCGCTCCATCATTCCAGCCAGAGCAGCTTCATCCCGAGGCCGTATTTACATTCCACTCCACTTTAAATGCCTTCTGTGTGCTGGATGAGTTCCGGAAAAGAACCATTTATCGCTGTAACATGGAACATGTTTGAGGATAAAACATGATATTTCATTATATAAGAATAGATTTAGTGCTGGGAGAATCAGCATCACATTATTTATAGAATGTATCACTGTATTCACATGAGCGATAATACAGCTAATAAGTCAGCACTAACAAAGTTATCTGTAATGAAGTTAATATGTTACCATAAAATTAGAATTAATAAAGTTAATAAGTTAATTACTATAAATAAGCTAATAAGTTAGCTGAAAGAACTTACGTTAGCACTGATAAGCTAATAAGTTTATAAAGGTTATTTATTAGCATTAATAAGTTAGCACAGTAAGCTAACAGCTTTAATAGAGTGAATAAGTCAGCATTAATAAGTTACCTTGATAAGTTAGCTGGCGTAAATAAAATTAGTAAATTAGCTTTAAAAAATGCAAATATGTGAGCATTGATAACGTAAAAACGTTAGCATTAATAACGTTGATGTTAACATGAATAAAGCTAATAAAGTGAAGTTAACATTAAGAATATTAATATTAACATTAACATGTCAGCTTTAATAAAGGTAAAAGGTTAGCGCTGAGTTATCATTGTTAGCATTCACGAAGATAATTTAGCAATAACACAGTTAACGAGCTTTCTAAGTGCAGTTTGTTGTGATTTTGTTCTTTTCAGCTCTTAAAATGACACCAAATTTAATCATCTACAGTATCATAAACTAACCATATAAAAAAGCGCATTTACAGGAAGGAAAATATGGATCATTATCTCATTATTATCTCATTATCTACCAAAAATATCACTAAAACCTGCACAGATCAGGCATAACATTCTGACCACCTCCTTGTTTCTGCGCTCATTGTCCATTTTATCAGCTCCACTTACTATATAGGTGCACTTTGTAGTTCTACAGTTACAGACTGTAGTCCATCTGTTTCTCTGATACTTTGTTAGCCCCCTTTTACCCTGTTCTTCAGTGGTCAGGACCCCCATGGACCCTCACAGAGCAGGTACTATTTGAGTGGTGGATCATTCTCAGCACTGCAGTAACTCTGATGTGTTGGTGGTGTGTTAGTGTGTGTTGTGCTGGTCTGAGTGGATCAGACACAGCAGTGCTGCTGGAGTTTTTAAACACCTCAGTGTCGCTGCTGGACTGAGAATAGTCCACCAACCAAAAATATCCAGCCAACAGCGTCCTGTGGGCAGCGTCCTGTGACCACTGATGAAGGTCTAGAGGATGACCAACACAAACTGTGCAGCAGCAGATGAGCTATCGTCTCTGACTTTACATCTACAAGGTGGACTGACAAGGTAGGAGTGTCTAATAGAGTGGACAGTGAGTGGACACAGTGTTTAAAAACTCCAGCAGCACTGCTGTGTCTGATCCACTCAGACCAGCGCAACACACACTAACACACCACCAACACATCAGAGTTACTGCAGTGCTGAGAATGATCCACCACTCAAATAGTACCTGCTCTGTGAGGGTCCATGGGCGTCCTGACCACTGAAGAACAGGGTAAAAGGGGGCTAACAAAGTATCAGAGAAACAGATGGACTACAGTCTGTCACTGTAGAACTACAAAGTGCACCTATATAGTAAGTGGAGCTGATAAAATGGACAATGAGCGTAGAAACAAGGAGGTGGTCATAATGTTACGCCTGATCTGTGTATATAAGCAGTATCACAGTATCAGCAGTAGAGCTGCTGTTTGGCTGAGCTGCAGTGAGATTCCAGTTACAGATGAAATGATGCAGTGAACTCATTCGTGTGCTGATATGAAAGATGAGAGAATCTGTACAGTTACGTTTATTTATCATTTTAAAAACCGCCAGAGACAATCAAAATATAAATACATCTCTCCCCCAAACACGAGACACGAGGCCATCCACAACAGCACAAAACACACTCGCGCACCAAATTAACCCCAACACACACACACACACACTCACACACACTCACACACACTCACACACACTCGCCCCTGAATTCAGAGCTGGAGGTGCGATTACAGAGAAACACTCAGATCAGACAGTTTCAGCTGGCGCAGATCCAGCAGGTGTGAATCTGAATCCAGGATCAGCACCTTTTCTGTTCTGTCACTCTGGATGGATCCGATTTGGGCTGAACGTTTAACCGCTTTTGGCTCAAAATCCCATTTTGAAGGAGCTGCAATTTTCAAATCGCAATAGATGCTACTATAATTACACCTTACATCATTCAGCACCTTCTTAACGAGCTTTAATTGGCAAAATATTACCTCGAATTTCATGAACTGGCAGTCTAACATTCATCATTCAAGCCTGAAATCTTGAAAAAACATGCTGAACTTCTTGATGGAATGATAAAAAGGAGTTAAATTAATGGAAAATATTCGCATTTTAACACAATACTGGTCAGAAAAACCAGACATTTTCTCCAAATCGTTCAGCTCCAGATGTGAACAAACATGCTGTATAACTGAACTGAATCAACAATGAGTAATAATACCATGTTTTTGATTCACCTGCACTGTTCAGACCAATATTGATGAGACACAGTTCGCTTTAACGTCTGAGACTGTTCAAAAGTGAGGAATCACCGTTCGTCATGTTTTTGATCATATAAAAGCAGATAAATGTATATGGTTATTCTTATATGTCAGTCCTGTGTAACTTCACAAGATTATATAACAGCAAATGAGCAGCAGGAAGCTGTAGAAATGAACACTAATCAACAAAGAATTTGTCTAGAATGAAAAACAGTCCAGTTTTAACCAAAAACATGTGTTTAGATCATACTGACAGAGAGAGAGTGTTCACAGTGATGCTCGCTCTACCATTTAAGATTGGTCTTTGTGCAGGACACGCAGCTCGGAACTGTATGATCTAAAATGACTGCATGAAGTTAATCAATACGTTGTATTTCCAAAGGGACACATCTTGAGGCAGAAAACAGGACAAAAATATCCTATAAATAAACAATTACCTTAAGTTGTTCAGACTCAAATAACTTTTTGGTACCAAAATGCTCAAAGTATCGACTAAAACATCTAAACATGTTTCATTTTGTTGTCAGCCAAGTATTTAAATCTGCACCGTATATAAAACGACAGAACATTCATATAAACAGTGACTCCAAACTTTTGAGTGGTACAGTCGTGAGTTTGAACGCCCCAGTCACATGACTGTTTTGTTGACTTTCTAAGTGAAAACACATCAAAACATCCTCCACAGAGAACAAGATTCCGGGATTTGGAGATCTCTCTGGTGGAAATGTGTAACTGCATGTAGTGTGGGTTGTGCTTTGGCCCCCGTCGCCAAGCAGATGAATTCAAAGAGAACTCAGTCCAAACTTGGTGAAGGAGCGTCTCTGAGGTTGTGAGTGAATTATCTACTACTGTATCACATCTTCATCAGTATGATGTTGATTTTGAGATCATTTAAGATCTAAACATCGAGCCGGACCTTCTTTTTGAGTCTGTGTGTGACGTTAATATGCTAAGACATAAGACGTGGTGTGAAAAACTGCCGACCCGTCGCCTTAAATGATTACTTCAGGCTTTACAGGGCGACTCGCACGGAGAGGAATATGTGAAATGCAATGCACACGTGACATTACTGTTCCATCGAGATGCAGAATAGAGCCAAAATGAAAAACAAGCCCTCTATTACACTGTTTTCATGTTGTTTGACCTCTTTACTGAAAAAAACAACACGTCAGGATTTGGATTTTTAAAATTAAATGCTGAATTTGTCAGGATGGAATTCAACCAACCCTAAAATGTAATAAAATCTCAGCTATGCTGCTTTACACTGAGCAGAACGTGCCTCAGTGATGCAATCATAGCACTGAAAACAGTGAAACGCACACAACATACTTTTCCACAGGCGACGTGCAGAACACCTGACAAAATGTGAAGCAAAACCCCCACTACACTGTTCTCACCCCTTTTCTGCACTTTAAATATATTTCCCTCATTGAAATGCAGCAAAAACAGTGAAATGCAGTGAAAACATGAGGTTGTGTTTAACCAGTAACATTGTTTTAAGCAGCATAGTCGTTTTTACATTTCAAGGCACACTTTATTCATTTCTAACACAAATTCAGCTTTTCATTTTTAAAATGTGAATCCTCATGTACTGTTTTTCAGTAAAGAGGTAAAGTGAAGTGAAAACAGTGCAGTAGATGTTTTGTTCTAGGTTTTGACTCGTGTTCTGCATCTCACCATGGAACAGTAACGCCATGTGTGCACTGCAGTTCACATTTTCAACAGTAATGTTTGCATTTCAATTCGAGTTCCTCTCCACAGACCCGCCGCAGCGTAAGCTCATATGTAATATATTTTAGCCTTTTTTTATTCTCCTGATTCAGTTTTCATACTCCTTTCAATTTTAGCTAAATCATCTTATATAGTGCAGCTTTAACAGACTGGATAAAAATTAAAAATTAAATATAAATGTTTGCACAGGCCACATTTTATGATCTATGTTTTTCCAGTGTATCAAACTTAGTAAATAAACAGTAATTGTGTATTTAAATGTGCGGCAGTGCGTCTCTGTAGAGGATGTGTGACTTATTTACGCTCAGAAAATCAACGTTACATTTGCTCACGACTGTCTGTCTGTATTCAGTTACCAACAAGCTCATAAACGCTGTGATTAACAGCAGAACCGACCTCTTATCAAGTTCCACCGTTGATTTTTTGACAAAATACACAATTACTGTAAAAAAATTATAATAATCCCGGATTAGGTAATCAGGCAACACAACATGAATAAAACCAATGCTGTCAATCCAGCCCTGGAGAACCCTCTGCAAGCGCACAGTACTGTTCTCCACACCTGATCTAGAACACGTTAAAGGGCCCATATCATAAAAAATCTTGTAAACACAAAATTTCTAAATGTGTCACTCCCCAGTCTGTAGAGTCCAAATATGGAAACTAAACCGTAAAAACAGCCTGTTTTTTAATTCACTGTTTCTGTGATGTCACAAAAACCAACTCATTTACATAATGTCCACCTATTCAGCCTAGGGCAGTTTAGCCACGGCCACTCATATCAAAGTTTTAAGTAGTGTTTCAGCTCCGAGTGCTTTCTGAATGAGGGCCGCCAATCAGAACAGAGCTAATTTACATATGTCAGTCTTAAAGGCACAGCCTATTCAATTCTCCAGGATAAAGAGAAGCTGGAAAACTGCAGAAATTAATTATTTTTGGTACATAAACATACAAAAGTGTTATAAGTGGATCTCAAAATATAAAAATGTAGGATACAGGCCCTTTAAAGTGTGCTGTAAACTGGCAGAACAAAAACATGGACTGTCTTTGAGGATCTGGGGTCGGATGCACCATTTGTACGTAAGTTCAAATGTAAGCTCCCCTCAAAAAAGACGGTTCTTCAAGGGTTCTTTAGTAAAGACAATGGCTCTATATAGATCTATGAGCACTTAAAGAACCATCTGCATGGTTAGATGGTTCTTTGCATGGTGAAATGGTTCTTCAGATTGATGGAGAATGTGTTGTGTATAGTTTTATACAGCACCAAAAAGGGTTCTTCTTTTGTTACAAGTTTGACATAACTACAGCAGAACCCTATTTGTTCTATATAGAACCCCCTTTTCAAAAAAGTTCTATATAGAACCATATACAATACATTCTCCGTCAATCTGAAGAACAATTCAACCATTTAAGCATGAAAATGGTTCTTCAAGTGTTCATAGTTTTACATAGAACCACTGTCTTTACTAAAGAACCAACTTTTCTAAGAGTGTATTTATGACGTGTTTACTAAGTTCAGGTTTGTGTGAACAAAATTAAAATGGGCTGCACCACCAAATCTGAGTTTATAAGTTTCTCTAGAACGAAGCATCTGACATTAAAAACCTGAATGACGTTATTTAAAAGTCAGTGATTGAATTATTCAGAAACTTTTAAAAAACTGGTGGAATTCCCCTTCAATGATTTGTGGTACAACCAAATTTAGTAAAAGGAGAGTCAACCAGTGTAACTGAGGACTCAGTAAAGACTTAACACAGAAATTTAAAGTACAAACATACGCAAAAATGGTGCAACCCAGTCCTGCACTGAGAAGCTCTGGGATTTCCAGGAGAGGTTCTTCGTTCCACAGTGGAACGAGCAGATTCTTCATTTGTGCCGTACGGTTACCATTTAACCCTGCGGTTCTCTGTGAAATCCAGTCAGCCGGTTTGGTTGTTCCAGTGAAGCCCTGCTGAGGAACCGGCCTGCATCTGGAGCGAGGAGCCACACACACACACACACACACACACACACACACACACACACACGCTCAAACACACACGCAGCTGGGTTCTTCCGTTAGAACAGACTGGGGTTCCTGCAAACTGTAATGCACTGCAATTGTCCGTGGTGGAGACTGAGAGGTGCTAGGACGCTTTTCCCAGCTCGATCTTCTTCTGTATGGCTCTCGCTGAGTGGTATATTAAAGAATCGATGAGTCCAGCAACTGCAGAGGAGAGAGAGAGAGAGAGAGAGAGAGAGAGAGAGAGAGAGAGAGAAACTCTGAGTGAGCTGCTGATATGAAGGTGCGTAACAATAATGGATTGCAAAAGTGACCACAGGTGTATCTGAGACCAGCTTCGGTTTTAGAAGAACGTCTCACTGGAGAACGCTAACGTGGACAATGAATGAGGAACCAACCGAGCAGAGGCTTCTTTATGTTATCACGCTTCTACACTGTGGAACTCTCAATTGGGAAGTCATGCCTTTATTTAATTTAAGGACTTCTTCCAGTTTTCTCTCTGATGTAGTCAAATCCAATTCCAGCCTCTAATTAGGACCCCCAGCTCTAAGATGGTGAAGGCAACACAGGCTTCCTCTGAGTTCTGTGAAGCTCCAGCACATCTTTTCACTTTGCTAACGCAACATCACTGGACAGCTGAACTCACTCTGGGGAGACGCTAACCGCCAGTTCTGTTATGAGTGATGGGGGGAGACGGGGGCCTCCTGCCCACCCAGATGGCCCTCTTGTGAGACCAATGAGAAAATCAACGTGCCTCTGATCACTGCAGCACCACCGGGGATCAAACTCTCAATCAAACTCATCTCCTGACGACAGAGTTATCTGTTCATATTTAACGCCTTTCTGGTCAAATTTAACATTTTGATCATTTTAAACTTGTTGGTGTTGATTTTCTAAGTGAAAATAAGTTAATTTACTGCATAATTACTGCCTATTTCTAAAAAAATAAAACATAAACAGAGTCCTGTGCACATTATATGCTTTATGTTTTATTTTTTTTCCTGATATGGGAGTAAATAAATAAACACTGTGCATTAGAATTAGCAGAAAAATGACACCCTGTGTAGTGCCAGGTCTCTGTAGAGGACGTTTAAACTTATTATCACTCAGAAAATCAACAAACCATGTAATCTGGGGGCGTTCAAACTTTCGCATAAAGCAATCTTTTCACTTTATCTTAAATATTATTTTGCTGAATTTTATTAATTTTTTTTTTAATATTTAAATTTATTACTATTTTTACCTTGAGTGTTTTTGCTCTTGTTCTTACTTCATTGTAAAGCACTCCGGACTATATAAAATATACTCTATTATTATTATTATTACATTAGTAGTACTATTATTATTATCGTTATTATTTCTTATCAAAGCTTGTGAGTGAACTTAGCATGCACTCTTACAAATAAAGTGATGCCACAGAAAAACAATTTTCGGTTCCCTAAAAACTTTATTGTTAAATGATTTGTGTGAGCATGAAGAACCCTTTAAGAGTTTACAGAACCTCTATATAATGTAAAGATATCATTATTTTTTTGGTCCTAAATCAGTACATCAAAGCCAAGAAACACTGAGGAACCAACAAAATAAAAGGCTACAGTTGGAATAGTGACACATTTCTATGTGCTACACATGAACTGCAGCAAACAGCTGCGATAAGATCTAATAACTGTTACATCTTCATAGCGGTATGATTTATTTATTAATCCGGAGGTACTGATTTTCTTAGGCCTACATTATTATTATAATTATTATTATTGTTATTGTTATTATTATTATTGTTGTTTGTTGTTGGTTGTTTAATCATTTGTTATTATTATTAATTTATTATTAATATGCACATCAGTAGTATCACAGATAATTCTACTGATAAACTTTTCACCAAATATCTAAATATTGGAAGCTTTATTAGTGATCAGCAATTCTGTCTAAACTAGCGTCAGCATCTATTCCTGAAGTCCCTCATCGACTAATGTTTGTGATCACAGGGGATGTTACGGTCAACAAACAGGTAGAGATGGACTCACCTGTGAAAACTCCACCTATAATAGCGCAGACTCCTGTCAGAAAGTGAGTGAATGACCTGAGAGAACAAACACAGTCAGTCAGTCAGAGTTCTGTCCGTCACACATAAACCCTTCATTTACACCTGCCTGTGTTATATTTCCCTCTTATTGACAGAAAAGCACAAATTATATTAAACAACAATCTTTTAGTTGAAGAAAGATGGTAAAATAAATATGGCGCATCACAGCAACAGGGAGGGAAAGTGCAGAACTGCGCCATCTGCTGGTCGCGTTCAAAACATTTAGAATCGCCATTCATTTTACCACAGATGGAGAGACTGATGTAGTTTGTAAACACAGCAGTCTAGCCCCGCCCATTCAGCCTACAGCAGTTTAGCCACGCCCATTCAGCCTACAGCAGTTTAGCCCCGCCCATTCAGCCTACAGCAGTTTAGCCACGCCCATTCAGCCTACAGCAGTTTAGCTCCACCCATTCAGCCTACATCATCATTTGAGTCACTGACACGGTGTCAAAAATAGCTGAATATCTGGGTGACATGGCACGTTATGTTGTACAGCCTGTGATGTGCATCAACCCCAATTCAGTTTCCCTACGATTTGGATACAAACAGCAGGGGGCGCTCTGATCGCTTTCCTTGCCATGTCCTGCAACAACACAATAAGCTCCAAAACACATCCTCCTGCAGGTGAGTGCAGTAAAAACGTACCGCTGTTTCTCTGTGAATTTGACCATCATGGGAGAAAGCTCATAAAGTACGAAGACGCCAGGCAGACCCTGATCCCCAATCAGCCCGTTGGCCACTTTCTCATGTCTGGTCACTGAGAACTGGTTCGTTTTCACCACCTGAGGAAAAAACATGCAGCGATTTTGCAGCTTAAACCATCAGAATGATCAAAAATGTTAATTTATTTAGGATGCCTCAAAGGGGGATTCCACCGATTATCCAAAATTCCTCCATAACTCAGTGTGTGAGGTGTAAACAGAGTGATTCAGAGTGGTTTGGTGTGAAATGGTTCAGATGTCTTTACAGTGGTGCTGATAGGAACCAGGGGTCGCCATGACTACAACACAAATATAGACATTTTATTTACTATCCAGAACCACCAGTGAACCTACACGAGTCTTCTGAGTTTATATGGAATTCTGTGAGGGAGCTTTTAGAGGTGGACGCCTGGTTCCTACCACTGTGAACAATTCTGACTCGGTAAGTTTCTCTAGAGTGTACTGTTTCTCAACTGGTAAATTGTGTAGCATGTTTAAAAAATGGGTGGAGTACCCCTTTAACACTTAAGATCACACTGTTTCGCATCACGTTTTTTTGTGATGATCATAATAAAACGTTTGTGTTTAGTGTTGTTTTCCAGTACACAGACCTGTGAATCATTCATTAATAGGCTCGTTAATGAGGTACTTATGGAGTAAAAGATCCGCTGTTAAGCAACATAAAGAACGATCAATTTAATAAAATAAAAATAGAGCCTATCACACAACTCTAAGGACACAAATCTGCTGGCGGATGTTCACCAGGTGTCTTCAAGCATTCACTTCTTATTTTAGAACACTTGAACCTTTATTTTTACTCAGAAATACATTGAGGGTGACCTTCACTTTCAACACAGCCGATCATTTACGACATTAAAGGGACTGAAAAAGAAATTAAAATGGAATTTTATCAATTTAAAATAAATGAACAGAACTACATGAACAAATGAAGTAATATCAAACAAAATCAAACAAGACAAATGAGGGAAAAAATAAGAGAACAATTACGATTTAATTAAGAAAGAAAACAATAAAATAAAACCAAGATAATAAACCAATTAATAAAATTTCTACATAAAAGGATAAATAAAGCAAACCAACACGTGAAACACTCAAGTAAAAGGATACTAAATAAAATAAATTAAGATAAAAATAAAATAAAATGAAATTAAATAAAAAGAAGAAAGGAAAAGTTAAACTTAACTAAATCAGTCACCGGCCGTCTGAAGGTGGCTAGAGAATAAAAGTTTTAGAGACTCTTACCTCCCCGTCTCCTTTAACGTAAATTGTTGGTACAATTTTCACGAAGTACTGGTACATCATGGACGCTGGAAGCCAAAGAAGCAGAAAGAATCAGAACAGGGTTCTGCAGTTTGGGCTGTAAAGCTGCAATGACAACTGGGAAAAACAGACCCTCACTCTTTGGCTGCTGTGGGTGTAGAGCTGGGCGATATGGCAAAACGTAACATCGCGATACTTCAGGACGTTTTTACGATGCATAACGTCAAGATATTTATTTTAAAAGCTAGAACTGACAAAGTAGCCCCACATTTTAAAAAATACGATCAAAAACTACGAATCCAACTTTTCACACACTGCGCTGCATTAAATCTAACTAAAAATAACTAATTATTCCCTCTTCTTAATCAAACACGCAGAAGTGTTTAAGTACAGGCGATATCCACAATAAACTCGGAAAAGCATTTTGTGATGTAATTTATTTCTAATCTTCTTCGTGCTCTTACAGTGATAAAACGCTCATTTTACCACCTTAAGAACATACAGTAATTTGTGGCCTCAATATATTAATTTGTGGCCACGCTTTATTAAAAATTAACCACCATGTTACCTTAAATCCCATGTGTCAAACACAAGGTCCGCGGGCCAAGTCAGGCCCGTGACACAGTCCTATTCGGCCCACAAAATTGTTTCGATTCTCTAATATTATTAGCCCGTTTCACCCTGAGATGCACTACAGCCCCCAGCATGCACTACAACATAGTGCTGTGTTCTAACCCCAACAACAACCTACAGGCCAGCGGTTACACAAAAAGAGAAGATGCCTGGTGTCTAGCTGAAGCAAACAGGCCCAAAACTATTTATTTTTATTTAGAATTATTTTTAAATATGTATTTAATGCTGTTTTGCTGTTGCAGTTTTGGCATATTTTAAATAACGGCCCGTTCGGGTCAGGGCAAAATGTGAAAATACAATAAAAACACAGCTGGACCACAGATTTGCTGACCTTTTTAACACGGCCCTTTTAGTGGTTGAGTCTGAGAGCCCTGCCTTAGGGCCTTCCTAGGAATGACTGGCTGGATGACCATTCAAATGGGATTTTTCCTGCTTGGAAGCCTGAAACTCAACAATCCTCCACTCAGTCATGAACGCAGCCTAACAGCAGGGGGCGCTAGGACAGCAGGGGGCGCTAGGACAGCAGGGGGCGCTAGGACAGCAGGGGGCGCTGTCGGTTATGAGCGCCTCTCTCTGCCTCTGAGGTTCTCCTCTATGGTAAAGGCTGAAGCGCTCGTTTCTCTGGATAAAACTCCGAACTCTGATCGACATCCGAGACGTTTCCGCGCAGAACTCGACCGCTGATCAGTGAAGGTACGTGGGGCTGCGGGCCGCCCGGTTCAGCGCTCTGAGAGCGGAGTCGGAGCCGGACTGGAGTTCGGCCAGGTCTGATGATAGCGGACATGCTAACGCGCTAATCTGGATAAACAGGCTTCCCGAGGGTCTTTAAAGGGTTCTGAATCCGACCCGGCCGAAATTCGGTTCTTATTCGTGTTTCCCGGTCCACCATAAGCGGTCCAGCGGTTGCGGACGAGGCTGAATTCGCCTTCGCGTTCGAACTTCCCGTTCCACCTTAAGTGGTGCAGCAGTTCTGGATGGGCATTTAAGGTGGAGCGGAAAGGTCGAACGAAACGGAACCTAACACAAGACTTACTAAGAGTGTGTAAGGTCATAACATGTTTAATAATGCTTTTATTATTATTTTTATTATTATTAGTTACAGAATTACAAGCTGAGGCCTAAAGACCGAACTGTGACCTGTCAGAGGTATTAAAGGGCAAGTCCACTGCTTTCTCAAAATTCTACATAATTTAATGGTTGAGATGTAATCAGAGCGGTTCAGAGTGGTTTGGTGTGAAACGCTGTTCTAGATAAACTTACCGAGTCAGAACTGTTCACAGTGGTGGTGAGAGGAACCAGACGTCCACCTCTAAAAGCTCCCTCACAGAAAGTTCCTACATGAAATGGTTATGAATTCACTGCCTGATGACTGAGACACTGTTTTATGATAGTTCAGAGAACTTAAACTCCATTCATGGTGGAGGGATACATGCAGGGCGCTGTGAGGCAAAATAGTCCCCAAAGAAAACTTATTATTTCAGATTTTCCACTATTTTCCATCATCAACATTCATATAAACTCAGAAGACTCGTGTAGGTTCACTGGTGGTTATGGATAGTAAATAAAATGTCTATATCTGTGTTGTAGTCATGGCGACCCCTGGTTCCTATCACCACCACTGTAAAGACATCTGAACCATTTCACACCAAACCACTCTGAATCTCTCTGTTTACATCTCACACAGTGAATTATGTAGAAATTTAAAAATCAGTGTAGTTCCCCTTTAATACACTGATATACACAGGGAACTTATAGCTGCAGCCAAGATCTGATATTTTTCAGGTACATATCTGTCGGTGCTGATATGTTTATAAAATGTGAAAACTGTAACTAAATGCAACTTGAATTGTATTATAGAGAGGTTTATAAACACAGTGCAACGCAGACGTAGCCCAGCATCAGCTGAACGCAGAGTACAATAAATATAATTCAAATATCAGTCAGATCTCGTCATCAGTCTGATGCCAATCATGTTGAATAGTTGCCAATACTGATATGACTCTGATATCACAGTGCACCCCTAACAGAATTTGGCGTTTAAAAAAGTAATTACTCCGCCTGCAGCGGCCAAAGTTCTTGGTCAATTGCAAACCCAGGAAGATTCGTCATGTAGCTAAGACGGTCAGTTCTTAGGCTGAATCCTAAATGTACAGGTACGCTATTTGGGTCTAGGCACCCATAACCAGTGTAGAAGTACAAGCAGTCAGCTGGGCTCAGAAATCACTTACGTTTCTTATTTGTCAAATATTCAAATAGATATTGGCTCATTTTGATTTTTACAGCGTCTTTTCCACAAAACTCACCATTGTAAACTATACCAGACTGGGTTGCCTGACCTGCACGCGCAAACCGAGCTGCAGTATATAGAAGCACTTAGCCAAGCAGCTAACCTTACAGCTTGGTCTATTATCCTTATATGTAATTATTCATTAATAATTAACTTAGTGTGCAAAGGATTCGCATTCAGAGCGCTGGCATGTAAGAAAGTCTGCCACGCCTCACACGAGGAAGTAAATATGCATTTGTTCATTGTTCATATTCCAGTTGTCTGTCGCATTATTCCTGGTTTGCCAAATACTGGGAATCAAAGCAGGTTTTCCACATAAAAATGTGCATTTTTTTACATTGTATTCAACCAGTATCCAGATATTTTGATGTTTGGTTGGTGTTCTGTGCTCATGTTTGATTCTAGAACTATCTAGACTCTAGAATTTTCTCTTCCTAGTTAATTTTTCGGAATATTCTAAGGACAAATGCAAAACGTAATATGTTGGTGTTTGTCCCATCGATGTACTCTGGCCTTACGAGAATATGAAATTGTTTGAAATTAATGTCTCTGCTCTTTCCAGATGCCGGTAGCCGTAGGACCGTACGGGCAGACTCAGCCGAGCTGCTTTGACAGAGTCAAGATGGGTTTCATGATGGGCTTCGCGGTCGGAATGGCTGCGGGAGCGATGTTTGGAACGTTCTCCTGTCTCAGGTATCAAGGCTCACTTTCTAGATTTCTTGCATTTACACAAACCTGCTAAAAATAAAATGTTAGTATCTGAAGACGTCCAGCTGCTGACCAGTTTGGCTTAAAGACCTTATTTCACTCTTTAGGCTTGTATGTCACTGTGTTCCCCTTTGTTTGTATACAGAATTGGGATGAGAGGTCGAGAGCTAATGGGAGGAGTGGGGAAGACCATGATGCAAAGCGGAGGCACATTCGGCACCTTCATGGCCATCGGGATGGGAATTCGCTGCTGAGACCACCACAGACTGCACTGATCACTTTTCGGGACTCCAGATTTTCATCCATATGTCACAATGCCACCTTTACACAGATTGTGAGTGGGTGTGTTAATAAAAACTGAAATTAAACAGTCTAAAAGAACCTGTTGTGAAACCTGGGACGTGGTCCGGATCAGGGCTGCGCTAACGTGATACACTGATCACTCCAGATCCCTCCTGTTCTTTATTAAAGCTGATTTTTATCAGATGGTTTGGAATAAACATGAGGTAAATGCACAAATAGTCATATCTATTTTGCAGCCACTGATTTGCTGGTTTGTGGAGGGTTGAGGTAATGAAACCATGAAACATCGAGATGTGGTCCTGTCACCAAATTGAAATCTGATGTGGTTCAGATGACCATCAGTTCATTAGGGAATTCAAGTCAAGATAAAATTGCAGGGGATATAAAGAAAAATTGAGCTTCTGCTTTTGAGTACAGCTAATCCACAGATTAGAGCAGGGGTCAGCAAGCTTAGGGTTTTCACACTCGTCCCGAACTCGAGTCCGCACCCAGGACTGATTCTAGGCTCTTTTTGGGGAGGAGCTCATTATCACTTATTTGCTTTCACACACAAGAATTCCATCCAAACTCTGGATCAATTGCTCAATTCCATACGTCACTTTTCTGCACGCAGGTTTGCAGAACGGTCGTCAGCTTCATCCGTTTGCTGCTTTTTACTGATTTTCTTGGATTAAAAACACTCAACCAGGAGCCGTTCTCGTGTGAGAAGGAAGGGAAGTGATGCGATAAATCAAAACTGTCACGTTACAAAATGAACCAATCATGTAGCCCTACATGCAGCTCCGGGAGCGGATAGCCTCCACACGTGCAGCGGACCGCTGGAAGCAAACCCTAGAGATTTCATGAGGACCAGGAATCGGTTCCCGCTTCCACTCCCAGGGTCCAAAACAGCTTTCACTCTCAAACATCATACTGGACTCGCAGGGACTTTCGTTCCAGCCCAGCAGGAGCTCACCTCATATAACTAATCAGTCATTTAAAGAATGAGACCAACAGATTGAACATCTGGATTTAGACGTGCTCCTGTTTGACTGGACTGAAAACCTGAAGCCACACTGACCTTCACAGATAAGATTGGTGACCCCTGGATCAAGGGGTTAACGAAAGTGATACTGCTCAAATGTGATTTTTCTGTGAATCATTCCTTTAATTCCTTTAGCCAGTCCTAACAGAAGGGCAGCCGGCTGAAGAAGCCAGTGCTTACGAAGGACAACCCTTGGTCAGAACTCAGTCAGAAGCTGTTTAATGATTATCAGAGGTGACCTACCTTGAGGCGCTGCGACGTTAGTGCCGTCTAGAGGATTCACGATTCCAGGATAGTCTTTCCCAAACGAGAGATGTTTAATCTGATGGGTCATGTTGATCTGTAAACAAGAAATTAAACACATTCAGGCAAAGCTGAGACAAGCTGACCTGACCAAGAATACAAATAAAACACAGAAATAACCGACTTACATTGTCGAGTCCAAAGCTCTGCAGATCGTGAACTGAGGGGGGAACAATTCAGATGATCAGTTTATCTGGTTGTGCACATTATCTGACTGATTAGTTTGGAAAACAGGAAAAACAGAATAGTGTATTAAGAAGATATGAACTATGCAAAGTTGATTATTTGAATGCAGAACCATGTCAAAGCATAATTAGACTAATTAATTAGGAATTACGTAGAGATAAATGGATACCGTACTGATTTAGTAACAAGGTAAATTCAAACTTCTCTATTTATTAAATGGGAATATAAATATGGGAATTAGAGGATTAGAAGATTGACTTACTTTCCACAGCATGCACTGCAGAAAGAAGAGAAAAGAGTCACCAAATGGCTTTAGTTTTGCTCTTAGAGAAATAAAGAAAATGTCCAAAAGGACATCCCTGCGTCCACAAAGTTACGGCAGCGGTATAAAGAAGGTGCTACGTTACTCAACTGGCCAATTTAAGAAATGGGGTTGTTTTGAATCGGCTGTAAAAGGGGCTCATCATCTCTTTTTTCTGTAGTAGACATTAACACCCTCAAAACGAGACCTCTCTACTTTTCAGCACACGTTTCAAGTCATGTGTGTTCTCTGTTAGTAAAGGTGTTCTTTGTTAGTAAAGATATGTACCTTGTTACTCAAGAAAGGACACCACATCCCAAAAATATACACACTGATTTCCCCACAAGAGTTATATTAAAGATTATAGACTCTGCATTAAGATAAACTGCCAGCGTGTGAAGAGCCTGACCGATACATTAGTTGACCGATAATGCGACCCAGTCTTATTGGTATCTTAAAAATACTGACTGCACTTTTTAAAAAGATGGTTCTTCATCTTTTTTCTTCTTGAAGACAGCGGTTCTTTCTCAATCTATGAATCACAGGTATTTATGTCCGGTGAGCTTACATGGAACCATGACCACTCAGAGAATCCTTTGCATGATTAAATGGTTCTCTGCAAGGTGAAATGGGTCTTCAGATTGATGGGTTGTATATGGTTCTGTTCAGAACCTTTTGGAAAGGGTTCTACTATTTTTACACACTTCTAAAAAAGAGTTTTTTTAGTAAAGACAGTGGTTCTGTATAGAACCATGAACACTCAGTATCAGTAATCAGTATCGCTCAGTACTATTCACAGTAGATTGTATATTGATTACAGCATTAATTGTTTAGGTGGCCTTCAGATCAGTGAGTCAGCCCAGATCCTCAAGTGTCTACAGCAGCAGCAGAGAAAGGAAAGTGTGGAAATGATAGAAGTGTTTACATGCAAGTACATCATTCACTCATCCATAAAGGGAGGAACATGGACAGATGAAGGAGGTACTAAATAACCCATCATACAACTTACCGTTCAATATTTCAGTTACACTGATCCCACTAAAAGAAGGTCTACATGCAAAGGAACTTACATGTCCTCTGGTCTGGAGCTCAACATCTCATAAACAGCTGTGATCAGTTTTAACCAGCTGTTCAGATTTAGTCCAGCTAATAAGTGTAGGAGTCGCTACAGGCCTCAGGATACGATATGATACTGGAGCCGCTGTACGATTTTAAAGATTTGTAATATGTAGTATTGGGGTTTATTGCCATTTAATTTTATTGACTATGAAATAAAACATATGAAGCTGTAAAACAGACAATTCAACATTATTATCAAAGCTATTATATGCAAAGTCTGTGTACAGTAAATTTGTTTCTAGATGTGTTTCTAAACACTTTATACGTGTTAGAACTGCTTAAAACGTGAAAAAACTGAACTATACAGTGCTGAATTGTGAAATTACTCATTACAGTGGAAAACTAGAGCCACACTTAGCGTGACCCCTCCCCTAATGCTATAATACTATGATGCTACAAAAACTAGACAGACCAAAAGATATTTATAGATGTTTTACTCAATATTGGCACATAAGAAATTCTAAAACGATAAACAATACAATGTAATTGCGAATTAGCAAATAATTCTCCGGCTCAGACATTCGGGAATAATCAGTAGTTTTGTTCATTGTTCTTCAATCATCTTAAATGTATTTTTTCCAGGTTTCTCAGTTTTCTTACTGCTTATCTGGAACCTGTTAAGTTTTATAGCCACAGTCTAGAATCATTTTATACATTTACAGCCAAATGAGATTAATTTAATATAAACAGTGCTTACAAACTTGGTGGGAGGAGTACGAGTGTTTAGAAATCTGAGGCATTTTCAAGGTTATAAATCGGCCTTTACTTGTTTATAATCAGTGTTACTGCTGCAGACCAGAGGACTGAATCTGTACTGAAGTGCCAGTGAAACTGTTTCAGCACTTACCGTGAACATGAGACTGCTGAAAGCTTTTTCCGGGGGCAAAGTGGAAGTTACCTGCCACCTGAGGACAGGAAAGGAGAAAACAATTCACAGTCCAGGCAACAAGCGTCGTTCGACAGAAGAAAACTGTGGTGGACAGATGTGTCAGCGCTGCAGGCTTTCATAGTCCAGCACCAGCGAGAAAACATCGGAATAGAGCATCATCTGCAGTTTCTATGAAAACTCGTATCACAGAAACAGAGAAACACGCAGAACAGAAAACAGCTGCTCCAGTCAAACTGCATTAACAGCAGGACTTTAAGCCGCAGCGTTGCTACGGCAACCAAAACACTGCTTATTTTCCACACGCATGTGTTTCACTCACAACTTCTCAGTCATGCAGGGTTGCCAGATTCGCAGTTTTCCAGCTAGTATGAAAGTGCAGTGTGGGGGAAATGACACTGTGGCAGGTGCGTTTACTACTTTTTTAAAGTAATCACAAAAAGGTTTGAAAAAGGTTTTTTAAAGTAATCACAAAAAAGGTTTGAAAATGAAAACAAATCGTCTTATGAATGTATATTGATCCTACTTCTGAATAACTGGCAACCTGTTCTGTTTCTGACAGCAGCGGAGCAGCAAGACAGTAAACACAGCCGCACACCGTGACTGAACTTTGAGTTTGTATCCAATCAGAGTGCACGACAACATATGTGTCGACACAAATCTCTTTAATGTCATTTTTTGTCGAGCCATGCTTGACATCTGGACTATAAACTGGTCTTAACCCAGACTGGAGAACTTCTCTTGATGTTTTTGTTTCTGAGCGCATGTTCGTTACCTTATTGACCTCGAGGAAGCCGTACACCCGGCAGCCCTCGTTCTTCTGCTCCTGCATCTTCTGGCTGAAACCTTCTCTCTTGCACTGTTCGATGGTGTCGGGTGTTTTAAAAGCCCAGCCGCGCCGCCGGTACGCCTCTCGCACGTCATCGCAGGTGTTACAGCATCTACAGAGTGGAGCAGCAGTCAAACATCATCTGTGAGGACCATCTGATTCTGTCATAGTAAGGTTTTGAAGAGATCATCTCACTTTCAATGAACAACTCTTCACAAACTCGCTGAGGTAAACTAGGAAAACACTGGGCTAGTAATGTTAGCTGAGACAGGCTGGAGGTGGGCGATATGGCAAAAATATAATGTCGCGATATGACGATACTCCGTACATCACACTTGTTTTTCTAACATCTGCTAAGCTGGAATGGGCAAAAAAGAACCAGCAGGGCCGGATTTACTAGGAGTACAATTTATTTTTTATTTAGAGGGGAACTCCACCCCTTTTTCAAAATTTCAACATTAATTAAAGGTTAAGTCATTCAGAGTGGTTTGGTGTGAAACGCTCTGTTCTAGATAAACTTACCGAGTCAGAACTGTTCACAGTGGTGGTGATAGGAACCAGACGTCCACCTCTAAAAGCTCCCTCACAGAAAGTTCCTACATGAAATGGTTATGAATTCACTGCCTGATGACTGAGACACTGTTTTAAGACAGTTTAGAGATAAAAATCTGACCTAAACACATTGTTTTAACCCCACACATGGTGGAAAGGTAAGTTTCCACTATTTTCCATCATCAACATTCCACATAAACAGAAGACTCGTGTAGGTTCACTGGTGGTTCTGGATAGTAAATAAAATGGCTATATCTGTGGTTCCTATCACCACCGCTGTGAACTGAACTAAACAGATAAGATTTCAGAGTTAAGATGTTTCTGTTATACGACCCCAGATTATACAACTATATTTAAAATAAAACAGTTTGTCACAGTAAATTTAAGGTGTCTTATTTTATTACTTAACAATGTTTTAACCATTATTTGTTAAGTATGTAAAAGTATCTGTCTTCGCTGTAACACTTTATCTGGACCTTTACAAGCAAGAACTGTAATGAGCTGGAGCACAAATTTTAGTTGAATATTCCTGATTTAGACATATCGTCCGGCAGTAGGTGCACACAGGGCAGTGGGCTGTGTCGATGTAGTTGTTATGAATTTATGAGCTGATAGTTCTGTAGTGCCTAAAAGCTCCGTACATTCAGAATATTAGAAATAAAATCCAACGGCACGTTTCTAACCGTGCACAGAAAACAGAAGATATTATAAGCAGGAAAATCAGGACTAGATAACCTGTATGACGAGCTGATCTCAGGAGGCCACACTGCTGTGTCTGAGTGTTGGGCAACAATTATTCTTGAACTTCTTGTCTGGATTCCACCTGTAAACGCTCTGAAGCCTGGCTGAAATCCGGTATGACCGGTCTGGTCTGTTCGGAGACTTTTCTCGACATGCACGTTTGTTAAACACCCACGTTTGCTTACAAACTGGTTTCAAACCAGCAAAATTGCAGGATTTCCTGAATATGTTCATTTTGAACAACAGCAAAATAAACGACTCCCTCAATCTTCAATTTCAGAACAGCACCTCAGAAATCAGTGTTTATTTCTTTATTCTGTGAAGTCTGAACATTGGGCGTCAAAAGAGCTCTTGCTGAACTGCTCCTTCAACTCTTCGCCTGATCCCGAGGCCACAAATAAACAGTGCAGGAATGTTTTATAGTGAAGAGCTCAATCTTGTTTAAATCCATGAGTAAATCGTGTGAACAGTGACCGCATGTAACCTCCTGAAGAGATAAAGAGGAGGAAACAGACAGGCTTTTGAGAACAGAAGAAAATCGGGTTGCAGCACTGTCACTTTTTCATCAACACATTCCCACCATACATGTCTAAATGTTGACTTCTGGAAACGTAATAATTAATAGAACTTTCTCACACTTCCGTGTTCGTTAACGCTGAATGCTGTCGCGCTGTAAACAATGGCTGATACTGCCCGGAATCATTGCTGTGTTCCTAAATTCACCAATAATTCAACTGAACAGCCTCACCACCGAGTGCGTTTACATGCGCTCAATATTCCGATCATAATCGGATTTCTGCAGTTGTCCGATTATTCAAAAGGTCATGTAAACACCACACTCCGATCTCGAAGTCTAAATAAGAAATCAGATAAAGAGGCTGGTAACCAATCAAAAAAGGAGTAAAACTGAACTGGAGAGCGAATGTGGGCTGAACAGCAGGACTGATTTACTCATGTTTGTGATTTCAAAATGCTCCTCAGCTCGGAGACAAATATTTATTCAGTGGTGTATTTACAGTCCTAGAGAAACTCCTGACCACTGCAGCTCAATCACCATAGAATCGTCCCACATTATTCTTGTGTTGCTGTTTACTATCCGGTGTGGTCCAGAGGAGGATGGGTTCCCCTTCTGAGTCTTGGTTCCTCTCAGTGTTTCTTCCTTTTGCTCTTAGGGAGTTTTTCCTTGCCACTGTCACCACTGGCGACGCTCATGGGGGCTCGGACCTGGATTTTTCTGTAAAGCTGATTTGTGACAACACCTGTTGTAAAAAGCGCTACATAAATAACTTTGACTTGACTCGCCGTCGCTCAAGTCAGCCGACCACCAAAACACTAATTATCTGGAACCTCCTTCTGTGACTCTTCCCATAAAACCAACCTGAAGATCTTCAAAGCTGCTGGTGCTACTGTTTACACTGACACTGCATAGGAAACGACGTCACCACCACAGAACCTCAGGGGAACCTTGCTTACTTTCACAGGCACCACTGTGTGATGAGCAGCTCTGGATTCGGACCGGCAGCTGTTCTGTACGGCCTGGTGAAAAAGTGCCTTTAGGTACGACTTCCTGGACCCAGACTTTAGCCCAGGCTACGTTCACATTACCAGGCTGAAGTGGCACAAATCAGATTTTTTGCCCTAATGTGACTCAGATCTGATGTTTTCAGGGCTGTGTAGACACAAATCTGATCTTTTAAAATCCGACCTGAGCCACTTTCTTATGTGGTCGTAGATCGGATACGTATCCGATTCGTGGCCATGTGACCTTAATGTGACGCTCAGATCGGAATTTATGTGCTTTTTTTTCCACTGCGCCATCATTCAGCGTTACCATGACAACAGCACCGAACAGACGTTAAAGCCTGTAAACAGTGGAAAAGCAGCTCATCTCACCTTTTTCCTCCTTCGTCTCGCTCTAATAATGAAGCTGAGAGCTGATCAGAGTTAATGATCTTCTCAGCGAAGCTCGTTCTGCTCGTTAGTTTGTGCTGATGATGAACGTGATTCATTCACGTGACGTTACTGAGTAGGATGAGCTCATGAGGGTCATTTCAGGACGCCGGTTCACATTAATGACAGATTTGAGTCACTTACCTAAACGAGTGTGAACCATCATGTCAGAGAGATCGGATTGGAGTAAAAGATCGGATTTCAGCAACGAGGCTTGTAATGTGAGCACAGCCTTATTAACACTAAACTGGAAATGGTAAAGCTCAACCTTTGTGGATTAAACAGCTCTTGTACATGACGGCCACATGGGGGCGCCTGCCTGTATAAAAGGTCACCAAGCCACCACCTGGGGGACATTCAGGGCTCTCTCCCTTCTGACGTGACCTGGAAGAACACCTGTCCAGACCAGCCCGGCACTCTTCACACCACTCTTCGCGTCGCTTCGCTTGTAAATCTAACGAAGGCTGTCAGATTCGGTAAAACTCCCTGTGAACGTTTGGGAAGTCGGGGACGAGCGCCGTTTGTTTTCCGTCCCCTTTTCTCCTGTTCTAAAGCAGGGAGGTGGGTCAGTTGTACATATTTTTGTTTCAATTTAGTTTTAGGTTAGTTAGTTCGTTTTTTTGTTTTTTAGTAATCATTAGGAGTTTTGTTTGTTACTTTGGCAAACGCTCGTCCCTGAAGCCATCACCCCTGTTCAGTTTAGAGAGCCCACTCTCATTCTGTGTTTCGGCCTGAAACCTGGATGGAGTCGTAAAGACACTCACTTTAACTCCTCGGTCTCCGCTCCGTAGCAGCTCTCACAGCGGTCTGGATCCAGCTTACTGGGGTCAAATATCTCTCCCTCCTCTTTTCCCAAATCTGTACAGAAAACAAAAATATACCAGAAAAAACTTTTACTATGTCTACCTAGAAAAACATAAACATAAACGATATGAAAAGATATTTTTTTAAACCTAGTTCTTATCAGACACATTCAGGAGGAGGAAACAGCTCTAAAACGTGTTGAGTCGGTCTGTTTTATCTGTGTTATCAGGAAGGAGCAAAATGTTGTTTCATTCTCGGAAAAAAGGGAACTAAACTATCTTTCAGGGCACAAACACTGTCACTGGGTGGGACGTTTATTACCATGACTTATGGAACAAATTGCACTATATTCTATTAATGGTTGTTTTATTATGTTAAGCTTGAAAAGCCAACTTTCTGTTTTCATTTTCTTCTTCTTGTATTCATATTTCCAGCACTGCCCCTCCTTTTACAAACTGCAGCACACAGAGCCAAAACCTGAACAGGCTGCTTGTGCTTATTTAACCGATTCAATCTACGATGTTCTCACAGCGTTAAACATGGTATTTTCTATAGGAGAGAATGGGGGGGGGTGCTAACAACATATTAGCAACAACCTGGGATACAATAGCAACAGCTGAGCAACACCTTAGCAGCCACCTGGGACAGCTTAGCATTGTCCTAATAACACCTTAGAAACTACATGGGACAGCAGAGCAATGGTCTAGCAACACCTAAGCACCCACCTGGGATTACACAGCAACAGCCAATAGCAACGGCCTGGCAACACTTTAGCAGCCACCTGGAATATGATAGCAACGGCCTGGCAACACCTTAGCAACCACCTGGGATATGATAGCAATGGCCTGGCAACACCTTAGCAACCACCTGGGATATGATAGCAATGGCCTGGCAACACCTTAGCAACCACCTGGGATATGATAGCAACGGCCTGGCAACACTTTAGCAGCCACCTGGGATATGATAGCAACGGCCTGGCAACACCTTAGCAACCACCTGGGATATGATAGCAACGGCCTGGCAACACCTTAGCAACCACCTGGGATATGATAGCAATGGCCTGGCAACGCCTTAGCAACCACCTGGGATATCACAGCAACTACATATCTATATAAACATGTAATGAGAATCTTCAGTTCCTCTCCCCTCAGAAACAGAATGAAGGCTGAAGGTTTGTTTACATTGTTTGTACCTCTGGGAATGAAATGAACCTGTTCAGTATCTGTTTTTTCCCGATGCTGTGGGTCAGTCTAATCAAACAGGTCATACTAACCGTGTTTCTCTGGCTCAGTGCTGACCAGTTTGCCGTCTTTGTCCAGCCTCTGCTTGAACAGGTTGTGCTCGACGTCCAGCTGCTGCTCTCCAGCCACGTCCATGGCATCAATGCTCAGATCTGAGGGACGGAGAATAAGAGACACTCAGACTCCTGAATCTGTCAGCCTTCACATCTGTGCTGGACAATTTTGATCACAATTCAAAATTGTGATATTTTCTGAATATATATGTAATCAGACAACATTGCGCTGCTGCTGAAACAAAATCTCTCTCTAAAACAGCAACTTTACAGGAGAAGGAATAAACATTACTGACAGAAAATATAAGTTTAAGATAAGATTTAATTCATTTCCTATTGGGCAGTTCGGCACGCAATGCTGACACATGCAAAAGATTATGTAAAAGTTTCATTTTCTTTACTGTTGTTGTTTAATTTGTACAGACTTTAAGCCGATCAAAACAATCTACAGACAATGTAAATAACACTCGCTGCAGTTTCCTGTCAGACACAGCACTATCATGGATTTAATTCTCAATATCTACCAAATATATTGCTAAAAATATCACTAAAACTGAAAAGCAATTTCAGAGAATGATGATACAGACGATATAGACGATATATCGCTCAGCGCTACTTTACATTAACACTTACAGGTGCAGTGTGTGACCGTGAGGTTTTAGACTGCAACCAACTGAGCAACACAATAAAAACCTATGTTTTCGAGGATTCACCCTCCCTCACTTTTTCTTGTGCTAAATAATAAGTCTGATCCTCCAGAATGGTTAGCTAGCACCCAGGTTCTAACAGTTCATCATACCAAGTGTAGACAGTACAGACTCAGCTTAATGTCACTGCTTCTCCCCTGCTGAGCTGATTTAGGCTCCCAAAAAATATCCTAATTATTATTTTAATGCAGATTTCTGACATTCAGTTTCTTATTCATCAGCTTCTTGTTCAAATGTTACCGTTCCACCTTAAATGGTCCAGCAGTTACATTCTGGTGCCTGCAGCATTATAATAACTGCTGCACGATTTAAGGTGGAACAGGAAAGTTTGAACAAGAAGCTGAAATCTACCAGTCTTTCAAATATCTTGTATGTGTAGATCTATAAATATGCAATACAATAGTTAATTTTGACAAAGATGCTGCTTCTTTCTACGTCTTACAGCCAGTGCTGCAGCACCACCAAATACCAACAAAAAAAAACAAACAAACAAACAAATAAAACAAAAACAAATCGCAAAAGGCGAGAGCCAAAGTTTGGTTTGTCCGTTCTGGGCTACCGTAGAGAAACATGCATAGCAGCCTCTGTTGGAAGAGGAGCTGAAAACACAACGGTCCAGAGTAACAGCTGATTATACGCTGAAGAAAACATAGTTTTGTTTACTATAATCCATTTCTGCTAACAGATCCCCCAAAATCTCACACACTGCACCTTTAATATAGACGTGATATGACTGTGAAGCGCATCAGGCTCAGACTGCTGGCACAGGACTCACGTTCACCACCACAGAGACGAGGAAACCGTTTACTTACAGGCGCACGGCATGTGAGGAAATATAACATCGATGTTGATCTTGAGCTTGTCTCCTCTTGAAGTGTCTACAAACAGTTCGGGATGGACCTGTAACCACAAACAAGCCCCAAAATGAGGTGTATCAGGTCATATTTACTACTATAGCACATGACTGAATATGAATATGTATAAATGCAAAGTTAGTCCACCAAGAGAACCGGTATCTTCCAAATCCTTCAGATGATATTTAGGCTGGTGTTAATAAAGTTACTGAGCCCTGTTTTGTTCTGTTTTGCAGACAGAAAGCACATTTACAGAAGGAAAACTTCCTGTTTATGGATATTAAACTCAAAACAATCTGAATTTGCCAGTAAATAGCATACGCTGCAGTTAAAGGGGAATTCAACCAAAATTTTCAGAATTTACGCTCAGTAAAATGGTTCAGATGTAAACAGAGTGGTTCAGAGTGGTTTGGTGTGAAACACTCTGTTCTAGATAAACTTACCGAGTCAGAACTGTTCACAGTGGTGGTGATAGGAACCAGACGTCCACCTCTAAAAGCTCCCTCACAGAAAGTTCCTACATGAATGGTTATGAATTCACTGCCTGATGACTGAGACACTGTTTTAGGATAGTTTAGAGAACTTAAACTCCAGTCATGGTGGAGGGATACATGCAGGGCGCTGTGAGGCAAAATAGTCCCCAAAGAAAACTTATTATTTCAGATTTTCCACTATTTTCCATCATCAACATTCCATATAAACTCAGAAGACTCGTGTAGGTTCACTGGTGGTTCTGGATAGTAAATAAAATGTCTATATCTGTGTTGTAGTCATGACGACCCCTGGTTTCTATCACCACCACTGTAAAGACATCTGAACCGTTTCACACCAAACCACTCTGAATCTCTCTGATTACATCTCACACTGAATAATGCACAAATTTTGGGAAGCTGGTGGAACTGCCCTGTAAAAGTTGATTCAGTGAATAAAACGCCCCAATTTGCACTGTGAAAATCTCATTGTTGTCACAGCCACTGTAAAGAAATCTGACTCGACAAGTTTTTCTGCTCTGGATAGAGGTGGGCGATATGGCAAAATGTAATATTGTGATACTTAAGGAAGTTTTTTTTTACGATACACGATATGACACAATATTTAAGTTATAAGAGACACATTTTAACAATACTATCAAAGCTATGAATCCAATCACTTAAACATTTCATATACTATGCTGGACTAAATCTAATTAAACAGGACTAATAATGCTCTCTTTTGAATCAAACATGCAGTTAAGAAGTGATGTTTTTAAAGTACTGATGATAGAAAAGCATGTTGTGACATACTGTGATAAATATCATATTTATGTCATATTGTCCAGCTCTAACTCTGACTTTGGGTACAGCTCAACCACTGAATTATGCAGAAATTTTGAAAAATCAGTGGGCTTTCCCTTTTAGCTGTCAGGTCCTGGATACCTTGAGACTCACGCAATAAGAAAAAACAGTGACACTGCTAATTTACGAGCATTATGTCACGAATATCTATCAAACATATCGCCAAAACTGAACAGCAATATCACGGTATACCGATACAGACGGTATATCGCCCCGCACTACTGTACACTCACCTCCTTGGTAAGATAATACTGTAACTCGGAGAAGAACAGGATCAGCATAATAAGTCCACTGATGATCGTAACTGCAGACAGAGAGGAGAATCGATCAGAACTGAACACAAAATCAGTCAGATTACAAGTTCGTGAACTCACAGAAAGTCCACGTCTGCTCGCGCTGTGCTAACGTCACTTAAAGCCTTCCAGGGAATAAAGTTCAAAAATCTAATCTCATTTCTAGAAACATTTCCCGCGGTGTCTCCTGAGGGGGGGTCATCTGGACGGTTATTCAGCGACTGAAAGAGATATTTACAAAACAGGTCCGCTGGCTGCTCATTCGATCGTTCCGGTCCACCTTAAATGGTGCAGCAGCTCCATTCTGGTACCTCAGGCGCCACAACGCAACTGCTGCACCATTTAAGGTGGACCGGAACGATCGGGCGCGAAGGCAACTTCAGCCTCGTTAGCAGCGGCGAACAGCGCGCGTTTCTCGGCGTTTTGCGCGGTTTTACTGCGGCAGCAGCTCCGCGATCCTCACCCGTGGCTCCGCCGCACGTTTTGATCCTAAAGTCCTCCAGAGTTTTCGGATAAGCGTCAAACTGTTTCAGCTTATTCAGCGCGTCCATCTTGCCTCTCTGAGCAGCGAGCGTTCCGGTGAACCTCCCGCTGACGTACCGGATCTGGAAGGGCTCCGCCAGCCAATCAGAGTAGACCGCGTCGGAGACTGTAGATCTGTATAACAGCGGATTTCCCGCAGCTGCGGGTATCGGCCGTTTACTGTAGATCTGTGATGTAAACAGTGGTGGACAGAACACAAACCAGGTACCTGAGTTAAAGTAGAGACACCCAAGGTAAAATATTACTGCAGTAAAAGTAGAAGCTCCTCCCTTTAGACCTCCACTGGAGTAGAAGTACTAAAGTATTTGCCTTCAAATGGACTTAAGTATCAAAAGTAGAAGTACTAAAAGATTAATTATGACTCATGGCACAAAACACTGAAGGCAAACAGTTTCCATCAGGTAGAACTGAGTGGCTCTGAAATCACTTTTTGCAAACAAGCAAAGTTTCAGTTTAAGATTTATTTGAACTTAGTTACGAGTTTAAGTTTAATAAAAACTTTAAACTCAGATTCACAAATGAGTTTCCTTTACTAAACTGCATCTGTAGCCCATCATTTATGTTGAATAGACTCTCCCAAAATTTTACGCTGCTGCACTGATGTTGAACCGTGTGCTGCACTGGGTCGGTATGACCAACAGGTCAAAACAAGCTCAAAACTAAGTGACCGCTGTGCCCTGATTGGTGTTTCTGCTTTGCGCTTCTTTGGTTTTGACATGTTACGTTTTTATACACACATAAACCAAAAGGAACGACAGATTTCTCAGAATGTAGAGGAGTAAAAAGTGAGATATCTGACTCTGAAATGTAGTGGAGTGAAAGTAAAAAGTCACCCGAAATAGAAATACTTCAGTAAAGTACAGATACACAAAAAACTACTTAAGTACAGCAACGAATTACATTTACTTCGTTACTGTCCACCACTGGATATAAATGGTCATGATCAAATATGTAAAAGGGTTATAAATCTTTAATAACCTGCACTGTAAAGAAACAAGGAAAAAAGGGGAGGAGAGGAGGAAAAACGCTTGTTTCTCACAGGACGTCCAAACATTGACTTAGTATCTAAGATCCCAGTCTCAGAAAGTTAGCCCTGCTGAAAACATACCATTACAACCATTAGGATTAAAACCTAATGGTTTTGCTCTTTTTAATGGGAACTGGCTTCATGGCTACCATTAGAGTCCGTCAGTTTCCTGTAAGACACATTTAGATCCCATAAAGAAACCTTGAATTGTTAGAATCCTTTACACTGTGACATCAACCCATCAGGTAAACTCAGAATGCTGTTAGAGACTTTTGGACGGATAAGGAACCAGCAGACTTTTGATGGTTTCTATGGTTTTTCAGCTGAGAGGACAGGAGACCCTGTTTACGCCTGGTCACCTGTTTACACCTGGTCACCTGTTTACACCTGGTCAGGCATCTTAAATATCTGGATGAGGCCACATAAAGACGCAAGTGTAAACGCAGCCGAGACGCAAATCCGAAACTCCTCCCAGTACAACCCAAACTCCTTACAACTAAAGCTCCTCCCAGTACAACCCAAACTCCTTACAACTAAAGCTCCTCCCAGTACAACCCAAACTCCTTACAACTAAAGCTCCTCCCAGTACAACTGAAAAAATCCTCCCAGTACAACCAGAACCCCTCCCAGTACAACTGAAACTCCTTCCAGTACAACTAAAACCCCTCCCAGTAAACCGTTTGTGATGCAGTGACGGTGTTTATTGATGAGTGTTCTGGACCCCATGTGCTGATCTTGTCCTTTAAGCACAGAGATTCTCTGGATTCCCTGAAAGCTTTGATGATTTGTGCACTGTAGAGGGTGAAATACACTTAACAACGTTTCTGGTCTTAAACTGCTCCTGTCCCAGCTTTTGTTGCAGACCTCAATTTCAGAATGTTTGATTTCACTGAGCAAGCTGATCAGATAAAACATACATAATTTGTCTTTGCACTGATTTTGTTCAAATACAGGTCAAAATGTATTTATAAATCATTGCTTTCAGTTTTTATTTGCATATCACAGAGTCTCTCACCTGTTTGTAGGGTTTGTAGAAATAACGATTTATTCTAGTCATTATTTCTACACAGTACATCATCGAGTCATTCGTTACTTCAAGAAAATAAGTCAATATTAAATTTAATAAGATAAGCCTTATTTTCAAGATACTAAGTCAAAAAATTTGACAATGTTGCCAGGAATGAGTTGGCAGATGATTTTATGGAGATTTATTTTTATTTTTATATTTCTATTTTGCCAGCTACAGAAGGTAAAGGTCTGTTTTTCCTCCTCCTCTGTTTTTACTGACAGCTGTACGTAAATTTTGACTAAGCATCTCAAAACAATGACTGTTCTTGAGATTTTGACTTATTCCAAAACATTTTGCCAATTCTTGCCATTTTTTTTCTGCAATAATTATTTTCTAGAAATTTTTATTTATTTCATTAATTTGACATGGAATATTTGTCGTAATTCCATTTTGAGTTAAGTAATGTCATTATTTCAACATAAAGCTTTCAGAAGTAATAATTTAATTATTTGATTAATAAGTAGTAATTAATTTCATCAATCACATTAGTGATCAAAAGCTTGAGAAATAAAGTTTCCTTTCTGAGAAATTAAGTAGGACAGTCAGTCCAATTTTTAACAAGTAATTATTTCAACACAGTAGGTAAAAATGTTGACGCACTGATGCCAGAAACAGAGAAAAACGAGAAGAAAAACTTAAGCAGCCAAAAACTAAATCACTACTTTACTACATCAAAACTAAAACCAGGACTAAAACAATGGATTAAGAATAAACCTAATTATTTTTATACCAAGTTTAAACTAGGTTTAAAGCTCAGTGCACCTGGGTGAATAGATAAATGAGGTAATTACATAACTGTCTTAATTAGTTTCATTAAGACCTAGAAATGATCAGTACTATAAACAACTGATAGAAATCTATTAAAATATTCAGGGTCTTACATAAACAGCAGAGATACAGCTGTAAATGATGATCTTTGTAATGAAGCAGTGATATAACAGATCCTGCCTGTGTGGACGACCTGAATGTTCAGGTTTTATCTATTTACACAATGAAGCTGGCAGGACAAACATCTCACAGGCACAGGCGTTCATTTACACCCCCCAACAAAACAAAAAAACAAAAACAAAAACAAATAGATAACAGATAAACTTCCAAAACCTTTCAATGTTGTGTTTAGATAATTTATTTTTTATACAGTAAAACAAACACATGTAGGAGTCAGCGTCCGCCCCCCGGGTCAGGAACGGAACACTGTATTTGACAAAATGTCCAGCTGACAGAGAACCTCGATACTGTGTGCAGGATGAACAGACCGACAGTGGCGAGTCGGGTTTGTCGACCGTGTTGAAGACAACTGAGGCTGAAGGCATCTGACCAGCTTTATTTGGGAGGCCTGTAGGCGATTTTCCTGCTCTTCAGCACTGACCACCTGTGTCTCTTCAGATAGTAGACCAGAGGGATGAGGATGGAGGAACCCATCAGCAACTGGAGAGGGAAAAACAAACAGCAGAAAAGGAGAATTAGTTATAAACAGAGTTCAGTGAAACTAATCCTTATATCTTATTCCACTATTACTCTGATTCTATTTTTGTGAGATGCATCTTAAATACTCTAATATTAGTTTGTAATTCTTTAATCTTATTGCAGTATTGATTGCATTTTATTTCTTAATTTATTAGATGTTTAACTACTTTAAAAGTCTACCTTTTTATTTTTTTATATTTAATTATTTGATTTTATGTCTCTTTTTAACTATTAGCTAGTTAAAGACTTTTATTTTCTTGTTCCTTTCATTCTGTTTTCTTAGCTTTTGTCTGTGTGTCAATCTGTAAAGCACTTCGAATCGCAACTGCTCGTAGAAACAGTGCGAAGACTTGATTGGAAGTATGTATTGCTTTACTGCAGTTAACTGAAATACACACTGATCAGGCATAACGTTACATCCACCTCCTTGTTTCTACACTCACTGTCCACTGTATCATCCCACTGACCATATAGATTCACTCTGTAGTTCTACAGTGACAGACTGTAGTCCATCTGTTTCTCTGATACTTTGTTAGCCCCCTTTTACCCTGTTCTTCAGTGGTCAGGACCCCCATGGACCCTCACAGAGCAGGTACTGTTTGGGTGGTGGATCATTCTCAGCACTGCAGTAACACTGACGTGGTGGTGGTGTGTTGTGCTGGTCTGAGTGGATCAGACACAGCAGTGCTGCTGGAGTTTTTAAACACCTCAGTGTCACTGCTGGACTGAGAATAGTCCACCAACCAAAAATATCCAGCCAACAGCGTCCTGTGGGCAGCGTCCTGTGACCACTGATGAAGGACTAGAGGATGACCAACACAAACTGTGCAGCAGCAGATGAGCTATCGTCTCTGACTTTACATCTACAAGGTGGACTGACAGGGTAGGAGTGTCTAATAGAGTGGACAGTGGGTGGACACAATGTTTAAAAACTCCAGCAGCACTGCTGTGTCTGATCCACTCACACCAGCACAACACACACTAACACACCACCACCACGTCAGTGTTACTGCAGTGCTGAGAATGATCCACACCCAAATAGTCCCTGCTCTGTGAGGGTCCATGGGGGTCCTGACCACTGAAGAACAGGGTATCAAAGTATGCAGAGAAACAGATGGAAACTGTAGAACTACAGAGTGAAACTATACGGTCAGTGGGGCTGATAAAATGGACAGAGAGTGTAGATACAAGGAGGTGGACTTAATGTTATGGGTGACCGGTTCAAGTGCACAGAGCACTTTTTTTATTGAACAATGAGATGATGAGGTGAAGGATTTATAATCAGGAACGAACCTTCAGTCCCATTCGCTTCCGCTGGTCGTGCTCAGGCTCAGCAGACCACCTCAGGAACGTGCAGACGTCTTTAGCCACCTGACTCATAGTGGCCGGGGTTCCTGTGGAGGAGGAGAGAAGATATTTTCACATTATTCAAGCTGAGTGTTCAACAACAATAATAATAATAATAGTAATAATAATAAT